TGACTCCGTAGATGAAGTGGTGGATTGTGTGAGAGGTGTATTGTGTATCACTAACCAGTGGCCCTCTGTGCAGCAGCTCAGACCAGCAGCATTAATTATTTGTTGGGTCATGAACCTAGGCCTCTGTTACATGGTCTCCTCACCTTAGAGTCTCTCAAGTGTGTATCTGGGATGGCAGAGGCCACAGTCTCAGGTAAATATTGGATTGAAGAGGGTCTCCTTCCAAGCTCACGGATGAGTTATTGATATTTCAGTTTCCTATAGTCAGTTGGATGAAGCTCTCTGTCCCTCAAAAACCGCTGGTTCCTCATCTGTGGACCCTTCACTAGAGTCTCTGAGTGCATGGCAGCAGGCTTCCTCAGGATATGCACAATCATACACCTGGATCTTCTTAAGCACCGTGCAAGACAAGTAGGTGTATTTTTCAGGGCATTTCAAACAAATAGAACTGATAGGATATATATACTCTCTTGCCATTTGCAAGTTGGAGACCCAGGGAAGACAATTCCGAAACTCAGTCTGAATACAATATTCTGGAAACCAGGGGAGCCAATGAGGTAAAGCCCCATCTGATGGTAGGAGAAGAGGAAATGAGATGTTTCAGCTCAATCAATAAGGCAGAAAGAAGGTGTGACTTCTTCCCTCCTCAAGAGATTGGAAGATGCCTACCCACTTGAGCGAGTGCACCAATTCGAGGGCTGATCTTACCCAGTAATACCCTCACACATGTACCCAGAAGTAATGTCTAATATGGAAACCCCATGGCCCAGTGAAGTCGACACAGAATGAACCATCGCAGTAGAGACGGGTATTTCCCACCCCCAACACCCGACCCTGGGGGCTGGAGATCAGCGATGCTGTGTTCAAGAGATTTACCAGTGATCTCATCGTAGCAGATGGGCAGGCTGGTGCTGGTACCCACGTCTTCTTACCACTGCTGACTTTCCAGTCATTAAGATGGGAAAGCTGGGCATGGGGAAAGGTAGGGAACCATCCTGGCTGTCCCTTCACCCGAAGCCGGTGGTCTCCAGAGTGTGAGGTAGGGCCACGATCTTGAGCTGTTGTCTAGAAAGGAGCTAACGACGTAATCATAGACTCTCTCCAGTCAATTATCGCAATTACTGGAAGCCACTCTCATGTCATATTTCATTTCGGATAAGAGAGGCAGGTGGCACTGAGGGTCCTGGGTCCATTGTCACTGCCCTCACTGGAGCAGGCATCTAAAAGGAGAATGCCAACCCCAATAAACTGTTCCTGCAGAAGCCATTAGGCTGGGTGACATGTTCACTTAGGGTGACATATATTGATCATGTAAAACACGCACACTGTGTAATATGATTAAACAAACTCAACCATTTCCAGAGAGTGCAGCTGAACCGTGGACACAGGCTCGCTGTGCAGCAAGGGCCTGTGGTCCTGGCGGGGACCATCTACCTCAGGGTAGGAGCCACCTATAGTGTGTTTCTTTCAGCAGCTACTCATTCATTCATTCATTTATTCAAGCAGTAGTGTGTCTGCTCTGTGAGGGGTATTGTAGTGAGTTCTGGGGACAAAACGATGAGTGAGACACACAGTTGCCACAATGACCATAAGCTTGTAGCTGAGCAAGCAACACAGGTACCAGCAAAGTGATCCATCTGAATCACAAGCAGAAACGAATGCTCTAAAGGAAAGACACTGGTGCTCCGAGAAGATGCCCTGCGGGGATCTGACTCAGCCAAGGGGCCAGGGACTGGGGACCAGGGACCAAGCAGCCCCATTGCTATTTGTTCACACCTATTGTAGTGAGCTGATGATCCCCCAAACCCATGCCCATGCAGGGCCTCAAAATATGACCTTGTTTGAAATAGGGTCTTTGCAGCTGCAATTAGCTAAGGATTTTGAGATGGTTAAGTATTGGATTTAGGATGTGGCCTAAATGCAGCATTGGCAGTGACTGGCATCCTTATAAGAAGAGAGAAGGATGCAGAGACATGTGTGGAGATCGAGGGAAGAAGCCCCTGTGAAGACAGAAGCAGAGGCTGGGGAGGGGGTGGGGGGTCGGGGGCACAGGCCAAGGGTGCTCAGAGCCAGCAAAGTCAGAAGAGGCAAGAAGGAGCCTGCCCTGAAGCCTGGGGTGTGTGGGGTGTGTGTGCCCTTCTTGCTTGTGGGCAACTGTCCTACAGAACTGGGAGAGAGTAAATTTCAGCTGTTTGCAAGGCCCTGCCAGTGTTCGGTAATATGTGATGGCAGCTCTGGGAAACTAAAGCTCCTACTAATTGCTAGAAGCTGCTGGGGGCTACTGCTGCAGATGACACTGGACACGGCTCCTACCAGCAAGGCACTCAAGACTTGATGGTGAGCTAGGCAGTAAGCAGACACCCAGAACCTTCTCTAAGGGCTATGATCAGCCCCAGCCCACTGGGTGGCCTGAGGAGTAAATGCCATATCACTGTGAATCCCCTTCACAGAGATAAGCTCTGTGAAATAATAGTTGCTCAATAAATGGCAGCTTTTACTTAAGTCTTAAATAATAGAGAATTCATCCTCCAAAAGAGCTGTGCTGTCAACTGTGATTTCAAATAGTCTAGCCGTGCAAGTTTTCCTGTAACGTTCAATTTATATAATAGATTTAGATGGCAATATTTGATTCAGATTGTATTATTTGGTTTAGATTGTGAGCTCCCTGAGGTCCAAGAATATGACTTAATAATTATTATTATAATAATGAGTCTAATAATCACATAATATAATAGAATGAAATATATAATATAAAATACATGTATATGACCATCATCATAACACTTCTCAACCAGCGAACTTGTGCTGAAGCTACTGTCTGTATTCAGTCTCATTCGATCCTCTTAACAACCTGGTGGGGTTGGCATCATTGTGACTGTTACCATTTCAGGTGTGAAAAGAAGGGCAAGAAGAGATAAAATAGAGGGTGGGGGTGGTGGTGGGAGAGAGAGAGCGAGCAACACAGTCTTACTTATTTATCTGGATGTTCCCAGGACCTTGAACAACCATTAGCTAAGTGGAGCCCGTGAAAGCCGGTGAATCAATGATTACATAAGTAAATGGAAGAGTAGGTGGATGGGTGGATGGAGATAAAGAAATGAGCCACAGTGACCTCAACCCCGGCAGGCTTGGCTCCTCATTCAACGTGGATGCTTTTAGCCAGAGGGACTGGGCATTCCTGAAACTTCCTTGGGATTATCTCCCCTCTAAAAGCTGGACCAGGAGGTCACTGCACCACCTCCTTCCTTGGTGCCTCTAATCTGCTCATCGGCATGCAAGGAACTCCCCAGCCCTGTTCCTGAGAGGGAGTGGAAATTCTGTGAGAATCGTACCCATTAAGGCCTTTTATGATCCCCATTATGTAATAAAGAGCATCTGGAGCCCGAGAAATTATTGCCAGCTTTTATTTTGTTTTAAGTATAACTGTCTCCTCACACTCTTCTTCCCTTGGACGACTGCAGGATAGTTATGACTGTGCTCTCTTTTAGCTCAGTCTGGTGGACAACATCCAACCCCTTTCTCTATTCCTTCCAGGACCCAGTTTTGTCTGGGCACCGACCCTCCCCTCTGCACATGCGGAATAACCCCCCTTTTGCTCTGGGGTGGATCTGAGTGGTTTAGGGTATCTCTGCCCCTTTCTGAATGGTCGCTCTAGGGAAAGCCAGATGTTGGGAAGTATGCTTGCTGGGGGGACCTAAGTCTTCCTGTCCCCTAAGAGAGAAGCACAGGGAGTGGCCCCATCAGAGTGGGATGCTGGGCTTGCTCAGCCATCCTTCCGCCAGCCTGTGCTGAGGGGGACACTGATGAGGGGGAAGCAGAGACACAGAAAGGATCCGGGTCTAGGGCCCAGCTGACTGCTGACCTGCCACCCTCTTCAACCTCGGCACTTTCCATCACAGGAAGCAACATATTTCTGTGTTGTTTATGTCAGTTTCATCCGAGTTTCTAATATTGTCAGCTGGAAGTGTCCCTATATTAAAGAGCCCTGAGAAATCCAGGGAGAAATCCCAAAGATAAATTCATTTTCCAGATCATCAGAATGGAGGTGGCCTCCCTGCAGTACCGGGGTACTCTTCCGTGTGGGTAGTTTTGAATGCTGGAGCCTCTGCCTGAGAAGGGACTTCAGAGATAACTCTAGTTATGGGAGATAATGTCTTAGTGGTTATCTCAGTAGGATGTTTCCCAAACTCAAGCCCTGGGGGCGGGGGCAATCTGGAGGCAACCTAGAGGGATTTACAAAAAAATAAACCTTCCCTGGGAGGGCTCTGGCATTCTCATCCCAGAGGTTTGGGATGCTGCTGGAGATTTAGAGTTTTAAAGGGTTCCCCAGCTGATTCTGATGATAATCAAGAAGTGTTTACCTGAACCTGATTTTTTCCCTCTCCCTCTACCCAATCACACACAATTTTTTAAAAGTAAAATCTGAAATAAAACATCACTATATAATTCAGAAATAAATGGGCTAGTTTGATCAAAGGGAGCTCAGAGATCATGTGATTGCTGCCCAAAGCAAAACTGGTGGCAAATGGGCCTCACTAGATGTCATGGCCATGCTTGGCTGCTCCGAGAAGGTGGTGCAGTAGCTGGGACCTGAAGGATGTGGAGCCAGGAGGGAGAGGACATTGAAAGAATGACAGATACAAAAGCTCTGAGTCTAGTGTGGCGGAAGAACTGAAAGATGAGCAGCACTATAGGCTAAGTGTGTTCTGATGTGGAAATTGCTCCAGGACCATCTTGACTGTATAAGTCATAGAGTGAGCTTCTCTTGTGTTCATATAGTCAGAGACAAACTGGTACGGAATGACGGGAATGGCCTCAACGAGGAAGCTCCATGCCCTAGTCCAAAAGGAAGGTGGCAGAGTCTATCTATTGTCCACCAAACATTTCATGTTTCCTCTTGGACACACAGCAGGACTACATTTCCCAGTGTCCTTTGCAGTCAGGTGGGATCATGTGACTGAATTATGACCAATGAAAGGAGGGCAGAAGTGATGCTTCTTCCATTCCATGTGCCTCCATTTTATTTAGACCACTAAGGACCTAGAGGGCTGAGAACCAAATGTGGAAAGATCCTGGCTCCCCGAGTTACCACGTGGAGGAGAGTCACCTGAGAGAGGGCCCTTCAGAAACTGCTGAAATGTGATGTAAGGAAACATTAAGCTGTTGTGTTAAGACAGTTGTTTGAAAGAGGATTATGTCCAAATAGAGTAACTGGGGTGCAGTGGTCCCATGGGGTGTGTGTGGCAAACCTGCAGGCTGGAGAGGCGGGGGAGCCGGGAGGCTTGGGAGGCAACCGGCATGCCAGTCCTCTGTGGATCTCTGTGCTCTTTCTCTGGGATCTCTCTGACAGTCTGTCTGTCACGGCATCTCCCGGCCTCACCTCCTCTATAGTCACTCCGCTTGTCTTCTGGTGGCCATTGTTACAGCGCTGGCCTCTAGGCTCAGGTGTGCACACTTACATATGCCCACCCCTGCTTCAGGTGTTCACACTCCCAAGCGCCTTCTGCATTATCATGATCAAGGCCTCAGGTGATAGCCACAGAGGCTAGTGGAGTAATTAGCGTGGTTAATTCATTTATCCTACAGGGTCCCTTTGGAAACAAGTGGTAAACGCTAGGGATGTTTTTCCTCAACCTTTCCTTTCTCTCCTCCTTCTCCTTGCTAGTACAACATAGAAGGGGGGATTTTTAAAGAGTTATAGCAGAGTTATTTATAGAAATCGAATGGTAGAAGGCCTCCAACTTTTGGTTTTGATAGGTAGAGAAGAATCAAGACTTTGCCTCTCCTGACAGACAGGAAAAGGCTGGAAGTGACTCAAGCAGCTCAGAGATAGGATAGTTTTAAGAGTGTCTTTCTATAAACAAACAATAAGCAAGCAATCAAATATAAACGCCAGCCCTATCAGACCAGACATCCCTTTGACAACTTCTTTGAAATGTTAGGACTTTGTTAGAATGTCCGAATCTTGCTTTATGCATGAAAATCTGGTTCCATATTTGAGAGGATCTGAAAACAAAAGACCAAAGGACGGTGATTTTCTCTTTAATTTTCTAGCTGCATTTTTATATTAGACTGTTTATGATGAGAAGTGGACCCTGAGTGAGCAAGGGCCAGGAAGGCTCCCCCTGGTGCGTACAGGCTATGAATCATCTACCAATCATTCCTCACAGCTCCTGATAAAAGATAGAGACAGGAAAGTTCAAGGCAAAGTTTCTGGATATTAAAGGCTGGAGTTGGACTGTCTCAACCAGAACCAGCAATCAGCTGGCTCAAGGATGCTGAGATGCCCAGTAACATGCCCTCCAATGCCAAATCTTCAACAGGGAGTGGCCAAATCACTGTCCCAGGGACATTCATTTAGCAAATGCCAAAGACAGAAATCAAACGCAGGTTTTCAGACGGTGAGTTTTGCAAGTTTTTCTACTTCATTTTCCCTTTCCGTTCCAGAGCCAACTCCTAAGAGCTTAGAATAAAATGGCCAAAGACTCCACGTTTCTTAGAAAGAGTTATTTGCTAAATACCTTGAACATAGATAGCACTTTTAGCTTAAAGAGTCTAGCTGTTTAAGGGTCTATTGTCATTAGGGATGCTTGCCAATTTGGGGACTTGATTATATGTAGATTTATTCAGCACAAGGTGGGTCTAACTTTCCTCATTCCCCACCAGAAACATGCCTGAGCACTGAAGATTGATTTTGCCTCTCTGGGGGAAAGAATAGTCCGTGAGAGTCTAAGCAGTCCCTACCTTGGATCCGGCATGGCTTACTTGGTGTTGGATGTATAGCACGGAATTTATCCAGAGTGAAAGCCCTGTTGGAACAACCTAGAATCTCTTTAGTCAGAGTGAGGGTGTTTTTATCCCACTGATTATCTTTTTTGGGGCAGAAAGTGCCACCTCATGCTAACACTCAATCGCAACTTTTCTCCACCTTATTTAGGAAGCAAAGGGTGAGTCCTTTCCTTCTCTAAAAGAAAGAAATAGAAAGTTAAATATAAAAGAATAAACAAGCAGCCTGGCTTTCTTTTTTTCCGATTGTGTATATTTCAGGTGTGCAGCTCGATGCCTTGATATGTGTACACACTGTACAACAATCACAGAATCAGGGTCATTAACATCCATCACCTCACAAAACTGTGTGTGTGTTGCATACATGCGTACACTCACAGTCTGCCCTCTTAGCAGATTTCAAGTGTACAGAACAGTATCATCGTGACCCCGATTCACCATTCTATACATCAGATTTCCAGAACTTCTGCAATTTGCATAACTGAAACCTTGGACCCTTTGACCAACGTCTTCCCCTGCACTCTCTGCTTCTAGGAAATGGACTATTTTAGATTCTACTTGTATGTGAGAGCATGCCATATTGCCCTTCTGTATCTGGCTTATTGCACTTAGTATAATGTCTTCCAGGCCCAGCAATCCCATTCTGAATATTCAAAGGAATTAAAATCAGAATAGTGAAGAGATATCTGCACTCCCACATTCATTGCAGCACTATCCACAACAGCCAAGATATGGAAACAAGCTAAATGTCCATTAATGATAAATGGATGGTGTCTATATAATGGAAATGTGGTGTCTATATAATGGAACATTATTCAGCCTTTAAAAAGACTGCAAAGAAGGAAGCAAGATTTCCAAACACTGCGTCCTTCATCAGGATTTACAGGGCTTCCCTTAACTTTATTTTTCATATGATATCTTTATGTGCAAATGTACAACTTATCTTTGCAAAGAGGATGCAACATTTTAGCAACTCTGTATTAGAACAATAGACCTTTTCCAGTTTTATCCTGTTTGCAACAAAAAGGGAGAAATGAGTATGCTGGAGGTGCTACGGGATTTCAGATCCTGTTTAAGTTAGTCCTCAAGCCTTATATCACTACAGGTTAACAGACGAGGATTTGGGTCAGAACATTCTAGGTTTAAGACTTGGCACTGCCCATTTACAAACTCCAGTAACTCATTCAACCTCTTTGGCCATTTTCTTCTCTGTAAAATGGGAACAGCGACTGTACCTCACAGGCTTGTTGAGAGCTGAAGTAATTTACAAAGAATCAGGACTCAGTGGGTCCAGAGAACAGAATGGTGGTTGCCAGAGGAAGGCAGATGGAGTGGGGTCAAAATGGGCAAAATGGGCAAAGGCGAACTGCTGCAGAACACAAGGGGGTCAAAAGACACAAGCTTCAGTTATAAAATGATGTCCTGGCGATGTCATCTACAGCATGGAGACTATAGTTGATAACACCGTATTGCATATTTGAAAGTTTCTAAGAGAATAGCTCTTCAAAGTTCTCATCACAAGAGAAAACATATTTTGTGACTTTTTATGGTGATGGATAGTAGACTTACCATGTGATCATTTTGCAATATATATGAATATCTAATTGCTATGCTGTACTCCTGGAATTAACCTCATGGTATATGTCAGTTAAAGAAAGAGAAAGCCCTCAATGGTGTTAGTTTAATTGGTTTTATTTCTTCTGCACAATCCAGGCCGTGGGGTGGAGAGAACTGACCTGTCCTTCCAACTATGGTGCTCAAATCCTCACCTTGAATTTACTGGTGCTCACACTAGGTTCCCCTGGGCTCTCTTTTCTCCCAAGGGTAAAATGTTATCACTTATAGGGTTAAGGCAACATCAGCATGTTGGGGGAACTGCAGTACTGACTGGTGCCAGGGAGGGGCAGCATTCAGCCACCAGCTCAGGTCCAGCCAGTAATGACCCAGGCTGTCTTTAGTGGGCTCAGGAGTTCAGTGGAAAGGCTGGAACCTTAAGAAAACAAGTTAAGAAATCAAAGGTAAAATGGAAGTGGAGATTGAAAAGACCAGAATGTTGGCCCACCAAGAAATGAAGCTGAAATGTTTGTGGAGTTTTGAAACTGGTGTGCCCCAGTTCTGCCTAATCATCTCTCAGATGCACACACACTACATACCAGCTCAGCGGGACTCACTTATTCTGGCATTCATTCACTAAATCATTCATTCATTCACAGCGGGAACTGTCACAGGACAGGGGAACTGCCATCTGAGCGGGGGCTGATCTCTCAGAAGAAACACCGCAGGTCAACTGGATTTGAAGTCCAAGTTCCATCCTGGAAGGTAAATTGGATGGTGGAGTTAGGGTACCTGATGGGGTCATGGTGGTGAGTACAGCATCCTCCTGGTGGGACCACCTTCCCATTCCGCCAGAGGTAGGTCCAGGTAGCCTCAGGCTTACATGCTTGTGGGTGAACAGTGAAGTGTAACTCGACTCTGGGGTCCCAATTCACCCCAAGGTCATCATAGAATTGTATAGTTAGTACAGAAATTTCCAACAGATGGCAGTGAAGCGTGATAAGGATGGGGTGCCATTTTGTAATTTTTCAATGGGTCTTGTTAAAACTTGGTGTGCAATACGGAGGAAGCAGCGGGAATCTGGCAGGAAACTGTCTGCCTTGATGGGCAGCAACATGGACCCTGACAAGAAGTAGCAAGACTAATGACAATAAGTGAAACTGGTCTGATAGGAAGTGGTGAAGACCCCAGGACACTTGAACTACAAAAGGGTGATTGGACAAGTATTAATTCCCCACAAGAAATTGAGCCGAGATGAGCATTGTTTCCGAAGTTACCATACTGTGTATGCATTCCACGATAATAGGCTCATGAGCAGGTTAGGGCAAGACAGTCGCATTGTCTATTACAGTGTGTTACGTGGTTGAATTTCATAATCTTCAAGGTCAGCTTTCCCCCTTGGACTACAGTTGGTTGGGTAAAGAGTGGCAGAAACTGCTTTACTTAGAGTAGTCTTGGTTGGAGGGGAGAGCAGAAACTTTTCAAAACAAATCGAATGATTTCTTATTTTTATTTTTAAGACAGAGAAATAAGCCATCATTCTTGCTATTATTATTATTATTTTCCTAGTTAATTGATTCTTGAACAATGAATTACTGCCATAGCATTCTTATGTCCCTGAAATAAAGGTTGCCAAAAATTCTAATAACCTGATGAATTCCTACATTATAAATAATCTCATACAATCAAAGGCAGTATTAGCTCAATGAAGAATGATTTAAATCAATACAATCCCTTTTTCTCTCTCCCTCCCTCCCTCCCTCTCTCTAGCTGCATAATTTGGGGACTATGGCTTCCCTCTCAGTGTGTATCCCGTGTCACTCACCCACCACCAAGGTTCCGGTGCTTTGGCCCTGTCCCACGAGCTCTCACTCTTGGACCATCTGCCTCTTCCCCCCCAGGAACCACCATCTTGTGCCAGACTCTAAGAGTTATTTATGTTGTGTTTTGCCAGTTTGTTTTCTTTGGTTATTTATTATCCATATACGAATGAAACCATCCACGATTGTCTTTCACTCCCTGACTTATTTCACCTAGCACAATCACTTCACATACCATCTGTGTTGTCACAAAAGGTGCGATTTCATCATTTTAAATAGCTGAATAGTATTCCATTGAGTGTATATAGCCACACCTTCTTCCTCCAGTCACCCACAGATGGGCATTCGGGTCGATTCTGTGTCCTGATTACTGTGAATGATGCTGCCGTGAACATAAGAAACCTGTTATCTTCTTGCAGTGGACTTGTGCTGTCTTCATTTGCCCGTGTTAGGTATTTGAGTGATTTTCATCCAGATATTTCCAGTATTTCTCCATTCCAGGGACATGGAGGGTGCACTTTTCTCAGCATGGAGTTAGATCTAGCCATATGATTTGCTGTGGGAGAAATTAAGTGGAACTGATATGTGAGGGTTCCAAGTAAGAGTTGTTAGCAGCATGTGTGAAATTCACCATCCGTTCCTTCTCGTTCAGCAGTCTTTGAAGGTGCTTTTCTCATTCAGCTTGAGTGGTGCAGAGCAGGGTCATCTAACCCCACCCACAGCATGAACATGCTGTCTTCATTTGCCCGTGATGAGAGATAAACTTTTGCTCTGTTAAGCTTCTGAGGTTTGGGGATTATTTGTTACAGCAGCATAACCCATCCAGCCTAACTCATACACTTCCTTTTATTTATTCTCCTTTAATAGAAGCAAGCCCTGCTCCACTGACTACCTATCCCTCTCCATTTAGAGGTAATTACTTAGCCCCGTCTTGGCCAAACAAAACCTTCTTTGCTCCTCTTCAATTACTAGTTTAAAAACAGTCAAATGATCCAAGCCAGGGAAATGAGAATCAATTCTCTGTTAAGGAAGAAGCCCTCTCTTTACACTGAGAAATTCATTTGGCAGGTAAGACATAGTCCGGAGGTATCAATGGCTGCATTTATCAGCACTTGGGAAGCTGCCCTCTGAGATGAAAACCTCTCCAAAGAAGCAGGAGCTGAAATATGGAGAGGCACAGATTCCTGATGACATTATTTAAGTGTTCTGATTCAGAACATCAGTGCTTTCTGGTGACTTGCCTTTGAAAACATTTTTGTTAAATTTCTTGTCATTTGCAATTGGAAATTCTGAACTAACATTCTTTCTAAACACACTGGATGAAACACCTCAGCTCTTCAACCATATTCATCTACAGAACAAAGTCACATTTTCTCAACTTGGCCTGCGTGTCTTTCAGGGTTTGGGCCAAGACACATTTCCATCTTTATGTCTGAGTCATGCTCTCTAGTCCACTTACCCTCGTCTGTGCCCCAGAGCCCCTGGATTGCACACCGGCCATCTCCTAGACTTCCCTGGATCAGGTTCAGGCTGCCTTGGGCTTTGAGGATCCTGCATATGTTTGTCCCCCTCGCCAGCATCGGGGCCCCATTCCATTGGGGAGGCAGTGTCTCATTTGCTTTTCTTTTCCTTATAGTGTCAAACCCTGACTCTTGCAGGCACTAGGTGCTAAGTTACTGGTTGCAGAAGTGAACCCAGTTTGGCATGGCAGAAAGTCTTCTCATTACACACTGAGTGTACCCAGACCCTGGGCCATAAACCTCCTATTTGGTTGAGCTTTTGACAAAACCGCATTGGCCTCTGCTTCTCTGCACCCAGTTGTCCCATTCCTGGGTTCTTGTGGAAATGCAATTTTCTGCTCAGGCTGCATCTATAGATACTAGTCTCCTTTCCAGAAGCCAGGAGGCTCTTGATTCATCATCATTAGTAGCTTTCTGAAGAAAAGACAATTTGTTCTCCTCGTGCCATGATAAAAAAAAAAAAAAAGTACAATAACATCAGGTTACAGTCCCAGGTGGAAGCTTTTGCTGTTTCCCTCTGACAAAGTCAAATACAGAGAAGTTAAGTGACTTGCATAATGTCACACAGCAGTGCTCAGACAGGATGCCAGCGCCTTCCACCTTCGCTAACTTCTCTTCCCCTGTGTTCCTCGATCCAACACTGAGGAATTTGTGTCTCCCATCTCAGCTCTCCTTAAAAGGAGATGCTGGTTGGAAATCTCTTTGATCAATCAAAATGGGAACACTTTGTACAGCTGGCATGTAACTCAGCCCGGAGGTGTTGGGACAGGAGCGGATCCTTCAACCAGCCTCTGTCCCTGCCTTTCTGGCTCCATGACCTTTGATAAGTGTGCCCAGTCTTAGTTTAGTCATTTGTAAAATGGAGATAAGAACCACACCATGGAGGCGTGAGGATTAAGACTGAAAATGGATGCAATGTTCCCGAGATAGTCCCTGGCTTGGAGTCGTGCTGTGTAAATAGAAACTATAAATAATCACCCGCGATTTCTAATTTTAGTTGGCATATGTCTGGAAGCATCTTAACCATTAGGCTTTGGAGTTGCTGCCCGGTCTCTTTCCTACCCTCCAGCTTGGTGTGCAGTGTAGACACTCACCTTCCAGGCAGGTCTTTTAGCCCTGGATTTTTTTTTTTAAAGATTTATTTATTTATGCATACAAGAGCTGGGGTACAGGCCAGAGGTGTGGGGGGTGAGAGGATTCACCAGAGACAGAGTGGGGAACAGAACAGGCAGATTGACTGAAATCCGCTGCTGACGGGAGCAGCGGGCGGGCCAGGAGAGGTCTGCAGTGCCATGTGGGTTGCTCCCTGGCTGGCCAGGAATTGAACTCGTGCTGCACTGGCTGTGGATTGCTTCATAGGTTGCCTCTTAACCCTTGCACCACCAGGGAGGCCCCAAAGCCCCTGATTTTTGAAGTGGATCCATTTTCTCTACCACATAGGGTCCTTGGGGCGAAATGAGGTCCTGTGCTAAAAAGTGGGGAGCTAGGAACTGGCACCAGGAGTGGACCTGAGCAAATTGGGTTAAGGCAACTATCTGGTAACACAAATGCTTTCCAAAGCCCCCAGTTCTCACCACCCTCCTTCCTGTCTTCTCCCTGCTCTTGGGGCCCCCAAGGAGAGCTCTGAGATGCACGCAGAGCCCCGTCCCATTAGGTAGGCAGAGCACAGGTCTGCGCTGCTCCCAAGTGTGTGCAAATCCACAGGGCGCCCCTGCCCCTGCAGAGGGCACGGGAGGGGGCTTTCTCCTTGGAGAGGGACTCGCCTTCTGCAGAGTGATGGAAGGGGGCATTTCCGAGCCCCTCACCCAGGCGGGATCCAGGTCATCGCTGCTTGTACTGCGTGCACAGAAGTTCCGGCCATAAAGCAGACTTTGGATGAGGCGTGTGCCCCCGCCCAGCAGCGCTGCCAGGCCTCACCACTCCCGGGCGACACCGTGATTCCATCCCTGCAGGCCCGGGGAAGCCTCCCGGGCCTGCAAGGCTGCAATTTGGAAATGGATTTCACAGCTGCAAACTCTAAGATGACCCAATTTGTCTTTTCCATTTCTGCCTCCTCTCCTATAACTATGGAAATCTGCATCCATGTCTCCGTGATGGGCTGCATAAAATACGCAACAGGACTCGATGTGCAGATTGGAGAGCCTAAAAATTTAAGGACAGCTGCTAAAGCGATCTTGGGGTGGGTGGGGGCTCTTCACAGACCCACTGCCCGCCTCCTGCGGATTTCTGTGGCCCCAGACGCAAAAGCCTTCTTTTCCCAGAGTGTTTGTCCCAAAGGCAAGAGGAAGAGAAGCTATCTCTGCCCCCTTGTCTCTCCCGAGGAACCCGGGGCTACCATCTTCCAAGAACATCCCAGATGGTAAAAGGAACTGAAGTTTGCACATAAATTCTCCCCAGGGAATTGGTGGTTGGTGATAGCAGGCCT